GGCATGAATTGTTCCTGTGGGTCAGGTGCTCATTTCTACCAATTTTACATGAAAGTTCATTGGAGTAACTCCTGATTTACAGCCAGTTTGCAAGATAATCAGCCATGTGAGATTAGCTAAATGCCACAGGGTTTTAATTCAGTAGTGACAATATAGCACGGGTAAGCAGGAAAAAAAAATCACCAGAATAGCTACTGTGCACAGTAGCTGTGGACAAATCAAACTGCCTTGGTTTTCCGAAGTACTGTAACATACTTCACTATACCCTGGCAAACATTTGATAAATACAATTATTTCAGTCAAAGCTGCTTCAAGATGAAAAAGAAAAGCAAAACTCAGCATCTTTAAATTTCTTAGATGGAAAAGTAGCTTGTTCTTGTTTAACCAGAGGTCTGTGACATGCATCTTATTATGAAACAGCGGTTGGCATGGAGTCAGGCTTATGTGCTGCATTACATCGTGTCATGTCCCACAAAGGCATTGACCTTGTTTGCACCAGAAAGCTGTGGAAGGACTGACGGGCCAAATCCCATCCAAGTATGTTGCTACTTTGTCATATTTGGCAAGCACATGCAGAATGCCAGTTTCCCCCCATTAGAATGATTTACCGGTGCACTCCTACCAGAGGGTAGAAAGGAGGAGAACATCAGGATAAAGGAGCTGCTGCTGCTGCTTTTTAATCCTGGTTCTAGTCTCCTTTGTTGTCCTTCATGCTCCTGTCTTCCTAGTTTGCACCCTTCTGCTGCTGCCCAACTAAAGCAAGCTGGTCTGTAAATTACCAGGAGGGGGTCTGAAGCCAGATAGTTTGCATCGCAAATTCATAGAACCACAAACTGAAAAAAGCTGTTGAGCCATCATTGTTTATAATTAGTTTTTGACTGAAGTCCCAGTCTGCTATAGGGAATGGTTTTATCTTTGTGTATGTGTGGGTGGGAAGAGAAAAGTAGAAAAATGAATCAAGGAACCAATCCTTATCCTGAGGCAAAGAAAGAATAGGGTAGTATAATCTAACCCCATGGGATCAAAGGTGGGGCCAACACAGACATAAACACCTTTACACTATGTTCTCTCTCCCTGATTTTGCTGATTTAAATAGTAAATAGTAAGTTGGGACAACAAAGCTCTTACCCTGCAGATGCACACCTTTTCTTTTGGTTGGACGGTGATTGGCAACCCTCAATTTGTTCAGTGTCTGAAACGCTCTCCAGTCTGTCCAGGCCTGATGTATTGAGACATGTTAACCCCTTGAATAAGCTGTGTTAGAAGTTCTTTCATCAAAGCTCATTTCCCACTGCAGAATAAGTGAAAAAAGGGGACAATCACACACTGAAGCATCAAGATCCAGTCTGTAACCTTGCCAAGGATTTGCCTCTAGGAAAACTGTTGTCCAGCTCCCTGAGCGTGAGCAGCCACAGGACTCCAACCAAAGCACCCCATCTCTTGGCTGGAGCTGGCAATTAGGACTCTTCACTGCTCTGCCATATCCTATGAAAAATCTCCCCACGTTTTTTGTGCCCTGGCTCCCTCAGCCACTGATGAGCTGTAATAAAGCCTGCCTTACATCTCACAAGAATGTCAAGTGGTTTAATGCATGTTTACAAAAGGACCCAGAGATTTTTGGATGAAAGACATTCTATAAGCACCATGTGGTTTGATGTGCTGCCATCTTGGTACCCGAAGGATAACTTTTAAGGATACAAAAACCTGTATTCAGACTCCTTGTGTTCTGGGAGGGCATCTGTCTGCCTGCAGAATGAAAATCTGCTCAGACCAGAGTTAGCTGATGAATGAAAAAACCCGCCTCACATATTTTAGTCTGTATTCCCAAACGCAGTGTGCTACTTGTTATATACCACTGCACCAACAAGTCATTCTTTAAAAAAACAAAACAAAAAGCCCTCAAAAATTTTTGAAAAAAACAACCACAAGATGCATTCTTCTTGCAGCTGGACTATGGGCACTACTACGTCTCTCATACTCCACATACTTAAGTGCCGTGCTAAAAACTGTTACATTTGTTCCAAAACACAGGGTAATCAAACAAAATAATAATAGAAAAAATGTACATTGAAATTTTTTTTTGTGGCATTTGATCATGTTCATCTGAGTGCATGTTTTCATCTCAGGATAATTTAAGTATTTGAAGGCATATGGAATTCTGCTAACAAAAATTAGTTTGATTACATTGGGATTATAGTAACTCCTAAATAGCACTTACTGCTGAAGTTGAGTTTATTATTTATTCTAAAGAAAGAAACACCGATGAGATGGGATTCACTAGGTCCTGGTTTCCAGCCCCACCTTCTTGCAGCAGCCTCATGGTAGAATGCATTGATAACAGTGAGCATGTTTCACCTTAACAGTAACTGGCAAGGGAGAGGCTTCTCCAGAGAAGCCTTCTTCAACCCCTTGCTCCTCTGGTGAAAATGTTCTTCTGACCTCCTTCCTATTTAGGCAGTATTAGGAGTATTTCCTGCTAGCACACATTACTTTGTGCTCCCAGTAACACTGTTCTCTAGCTGAAGCAGCCCTTCTCATCCTACTTGCTGAAGGTGGATGGGAGACTTACTTGAATCTCTTGATGTCATCAGTGTTCAGTGAAGAACATGAATAAAGGTATGCCGGGGAAATTTCCTTCTGTGGCCAGACATCTAGGCTTCCTCAAAGCAGCCACCATCACGCTGTCTGCTGGTCTTTGTTTTAGAAGACATGGGAATGTTCAGAAGCTCAGGGCTTATATGTGGGAAAGGCAGAGAGAGAGTTGCATGGGGCACTGCCCAGTTCTCTTAGCCCTCAGTAACAGGGTACAGAGAGATTCACTTCATTTTGCCGGTGGACTTGGGATTTATGTCTCACATCTAAGCACATAATGGAAGCTAATTGGTCATGGAGAGTGAAAGAATCCATAACAAAACTGTTTGTGCTAGACATTGATTTCCCAACAGAAAGGCTATCTGAGCTCTGATCCAGTCTTCACTGGTTTAAATGGGGAAGTACAGTAGGAGTGGGGTTGGAAGCTTGGCAAAATGCAGGAAGCTGTTATCTGACAGCTAATGGACTATTTCCACCTTCAGATGTCTAATTTATTTTTAATGAATGTGGGGACGTCTTTGCAAAGAGGCATTTCTCCCACCCCTCGGTAACGTAGAGCAATTCCTTCCTAATCTAGTAGTCGTTTTCCAGCAGAAACAATCTCTGTGGAATTGGACTTGTTAACCAAGTTGTGTCCTGGGGGACAGGGAAAAGCTGTACAGATGAAATAAGGTAACTGAGTAGAAAGTTAAAATAAATTGTGTATTCAATTTGTATATAAGTTAGTGCATAGTCTTATTCTTGGATGTAAGGAGTGAATGAAAAAATCTTCCATTTACCACTGAATGTGAGTACTCAAGAGCATTAAACAATTCTATAGATGACAAATTAATGTGACCAATTAGCATATCAAAGCAATTATTACTACTAAACTGAATGATAGTAGTCCACCCACTTTTCACTCATTTTCTGAAGTCATCTAAGTGTTAGGCTGCACAGAGTTCCAGAGGGTAGCTTCTACTTGTGCTAACCCACTTGCTCAAGGACATAACTTTGTGCTGAGTACACCATTTTACATCATCTGGCTGTAATTCAGGGGTATTGACTTCAGTGGCCAATCAGACACTGACTTCAGTGATGCCAGGAGGAATTCTGTAAGGGCATCAGAAATGTATCTCCAAGTCATCATATGTTGCTGCATTCCTACCAGAGGTGTTAAGGATGCAAAAAAGTTTATCATACCTAACAGTGAGGCCTACTGTTTTGCACTCTTTCAAAGTCAGGAAGAAATCAAGGTGCTTAAAAAAACAGAACCATGTATCTAGTTGGAATGAAGTATCCTTGCTGAAGGCAGGAGAATTAAAAAGTATTTTCTACACTTCTTGAAACCTCCTTACACACAGAATGATTTCCTCCTGACTTTCTCCCATCTCCTCTGTCTTTTGCAAAAGATACGCTCAGTCAGCAACAGAAATGCCATGCACTGCTTGATCAAATAAGCAAGGTAGCCTAGCAGTGCTATCACATTGTGCAATTTGTAGGTACATCTGAGCTGAAAAGGTTTCTAAGCACATACCAACAATGAGCATGCAAATGACAGCCTATTAGTTGGCTGTGTGGCAAGTACAAAGCCCACAAAGGCTGAGGTCAGGTGATAAAAGGTTTGAGAAGTCAGTAAACAAAAGTGTGAGAAAGCTCTGAGAATTCCAGCACCTCTGACCTAGGAGAAAGGCTGATAAACTGCTGAAACACTCCTGTGTCCATTTAGTATTTGACATAGCAGGCTCATTCCTTCTGACTTTTGTTTAGTGCGAGACATTTTGGAAACTAGCAAGCACAGTCAGCCTGATCGAAGGGCTTGTTCCAGAGTTGATCTCACTCTGACACCTACTTCTCTCCAGGGAGCTGGGATTTTCTTCTGGGAGTTGGAGTTCAGCCCCTCCTGCTGTATCTGGCCCATGAGGAGGCTTCCAAAAAGTCCTTACTACCAGAATTCTATTAAAAACAAGAGAAAGGAAAACAGTAAGGCAGCAAGAGAGTTCCAGTGAGATCCTAAGGGGAAACTGTCGGCTCCCACATCTGGTTTGCAGATCTGTGGTGGTCCGGGAAGCACTTTCAGGTGGTCTCCAGAGCTGTTTCCGTCACAGTAGTAGTTCTCAAGCACTACCACTTCCTGCTAGTTATAACCCGGGCTCTGAGTCTTTTAGTAACACTAGTACAGAATGGATGAGGAGACAGCTAGGGGCCTCAGTTTTGGTTTGCCAGAGATCAGATACGTAGGACCCCATTTGGACAGGTTTTCTAATATTTAGTAGACTTCTGCTCCTCAGTGAATCTGTCTGGCTTTAAGAGGGGCTGCTGTGGAATCAGGAACTACTCAGCATGAATAAGGAGGTCAGAATCTGCCCTTTAAGCTGGAAGAATGACATCCATTAAAAGAACAGCATTTCTGTTTCACATTTTCACAGCTTTTACAACTGGGATAGAAATGTCAGCACTTCAAATTCCAGCCCAAATTACCAAGTGATTGCAGAAAATGCCTGTGGACTACTCTTCAAGAACAAAAGTGATAGGAAAATAATAAATGTGGATCCTAAGGTAAATGTCTTTTTTTTTTTTTTCAATATTCTAAATTGCCTTTATGCAATGGAGATTGACTGCTAAACTGTTGAGTCTGATTGCAAATAGTGTCTTTTATCAATACACATCTAATATTTCAGGCTTACTCAGACATGCTAACATAGCTGCTGTGGTCCGTGTCAGGATAAACTTAGCCTACCTTGTTTACAATTGAGCGTGTCTATGCCTTTCCCTTGTGACAACAAAAATCAGAAGTTGAACTGACTGATAAAACTGAAATCTTTCAGAAGCAGGGTTTCTCTTATACCCTGTCCCATTCCATGCCCTTTTTCCTTCCAACCAGAATGAGAAATTGTTGCCATTACTTCCAGGATAGGCTTCAGGCTGATGCTATGTCCTATTAATGGAAATGCCAAGAAGTGCTAAGGAAGGGGAAGTATGGGACAGGGAAAAGGGTGAGGAGGAAAGCAGGACTGACTAGAGGATGTGAGAACTGAAGCATGGGAGTATATAAGCAGGTACATCTGGTGTGGAAAGACACTGTGTTTTGCTCAGAGAATGACACATGTTCCTCTAGCTAAAAGGAAAAATTGCTAAAATGTTGGTGACACATCCTGGAGCTGGTGGTCCCTGTATTCATCTCCTCTGAAAAATCAAATCTCTATTATGAAACATGCCTGCAGGTGGATAAAAGTAAGTAAATATTAGGCTACTTTGAAACAAAAGCTGCAACTTGTAGGAACCGTAATATCCCAAATCCTGGCAGGGCCTGCTAAACACCAGCAAATCCAGAAAGCAGAATTGATTCCTGCATCTGAAGCATGGGCCATCTTCTACCCTAGCACTTTCACCGTGGTAAACTGAAACTGGCAGAATTCCTTTCCCAACCGCAGACAATCCTTATTCTTCTTCAAGAATACAAAAGATTTAAGAAATCCTAAGGAAAGCAGCCACGTTAAGGTCATTCAGTTCTTGTAGCAGATTGTCACTGGCACAAGGGTCAAACCTGTATTTTAAACCCTGTCCCTCATAAAAGAGAAATTTGACACTAGATGCATCTTCTGTGGAGAGCTGTGTTTCTCCAGCACACCATAAATGGTTCAGAAAGATTTACAAATTAATAAAAGAAAGGAAAATACTTGTGCCTCACTAGTGCTATAAACTGGAGGAACATTGTGGACTCTGTGTCTCTTATATATGACTGACAGCACAAACATATGCTTTGTTTTCACATTAAAATGGCTCTGATCCTATTATTGTTGACGTTGATTGGTCTTTACCATTTATTTACATAGCAGTTGGATCTGAACAATGCAGATACTCAAGTCATACCCGGACATGCCATTTTCAGACATAGTTGAAAGCTGATTAAACTGCCACGGGTATTTTATCTTTCATGTTGGGAGCTGAATGGGTAATAATATTATAGACAGCTTCCCCCTGTAAGAAACCATGTTCCTCTGGTGCCAACTGCACTTTTTAAAACTTTACAGCTGAAGTCCTTGGACTATAGATTGGATGTGACAAACACACCCAGGCTTTGGTTACTCTCAAAACCAACATGAACTAAGCTGGGCAATAATTTGTTTGGGTTTTTACAGAACTCATCTAGGATGATGGTTTCTTTGATGTGCTTCCCATGAAAGATGGTCGCATATGAATAGTAACAGTACAAAATATCAAATTATATTCATTTCAAAATAAGTGTATTGGTTTGTTAGAAATTCAAAAATGCATACCTAAAAATGTGTTTGGTTGCATTGAAAGTGGGCCACCAATCCAACTTCCTGCAGCTGCATAACATCTGTAACAAATAACAAGCTCTTTAGTGTCTATGTGAAAGGTCCTTGCATGCCAAGAGCCACACTAAGAGGCATTTGTACGTGTACATTGTGTCCCCACACAGGTCGGAGGGCACCAGCCTGTGAGTCGCCATGAGATCCATCTATTTGGCTTTTCTGTAATGCTGACTGATGGAGAACTAGCTTTTGAGAAGTGCTTGCTATGGCCCAAACTGAAATCAGCACAAGTTCTCTCTCATGGGGTTCAGCTTGAACAGTCTTAGTACCAGCTGCCTGATATTTGCAAGCAGGTCTTCTCTTTGACCAGTCAATGGTCCAGTTGTTCCTAGTTGTATTTAGCTAAAAGAACTCTATTACTGTCTTTGCATCTGTTAAAAGCATTGCAGGAGAAACAAACTGCCCTGTGCCAGGACATTAGTCTTCACTGAGAAATCCCCACCCTCAGAGCTAGTTGCATTTATCAAACTTTACATTCCAAGGGAAGAAGAAGAAAATTTGTGACATTAAAAACCATGTCTTTTCTCTCTCCTGACTGGGTATCTGTAATATTCTGTGTTTCAGGCCTACCCAGGAGACGACACAACACGGATGCCTGTTGAAACAGATCTCTATCTCCACGTTGTTATCTATGACCATATTGTCAGAAGAGGGACCTAAAGGTCCATCTGTGTTACTCTTCTCCCAGTGATTTCTTTAGCTCTTTTAAAGTCATCTGGAAGAACAGTGAATGGTTGGAAGACCTTTACCTTGTGTTCAGGAGTAAGAAAGGGGGGATTTTTATACTGGTGTGCCTTACTCCTTGAGGGAAGTAAAACCCCATACTGGCTGTAGAGTCTATGTATCTGGGCCCCTAATTTGACCTTTGTGAAGTCCATGGGGTATATGAATTGCAAAAGCACCTAAGGGGAAGACAGAAGGTTTGGACCCAGCTTTTCCCACTTCTCCTAGGGCAGTAGAGCAACTGGGTCAGAGGTGCTGTATTCTTTCTTGGAGTTAAGAGAAGAAACTACTGCCCCACAGTTCACCAGCGGCAGGATGTTTTAAATTCTTCCTGGGAGATTCTCTTTCAGGTAGGCCTGGACCTTGAACAGCTAGCACCATGTAATACAGACTGAGACATTCACAGGGTAGCAGGGAGAAGTTGTACCAAATAGACTAGTAAATGTAAAGAAATCTGCAGCATTTTCATGTATTAGTGGTTCCTTGAAGGCCACTTTTCATCCATTCCAGCTCTCGTTGCTGTTCTAGTACCAACTTGCCAGAAGTTCAGGCAGCAACACAATGGCCCAAGGAACTCTATTCCATTCCCGGGGCACTTGGGGAAGTTGCCTGTACTTACATGACCCAGCTGGTATAACCACCAACGTAGCTGTCTGCTTGCTGGAGAACTGGAAAACGGCACAAAGCTAGGCAGCAGAAAGAACTAGCAGGAACAAAAGCAATAATTACAGAGAAAACTAAAAGGATGTGGAGGTGAAAGCAAAGGAAACAAAGGCAGAAAGTGGCTGGATAAAATTCCCTAGACCTTATTCTTTTGGGGCCTGGATGATTTTAATGATCTTTTCTGACTTTGATATTGTGAATTTGTGAAAAGGACAACTGAGGCAACTCGGACAAGAAAAAAGATGGTAGCAGTGCTGCTAGGCTTACCATAGGGTGGGGTTTATCTGCCAGCCTCATCACAAGCATGTTCACTTTGGAAAAGGCTGAGAGCCTCGGTCTTAGCAGTTGGCGCATTAAAGATCCCTTTACTGCAAGGAGAGGGAGTGTTCCAACAATTACAAAGTGAAAGTTGTTACTTCAAAGCTGCAGTAATTTGGGAGAAACTTACAAGCCTTCTTTTCTTTCCCATACAATTTTCAATGTTACGAAGGTCTACCATTTCCAAAATACAATAAAATCTTTCACTGCAACATCTTGCTTTTATACAGAGCACTTCATCCCATAGCACCCTAAAATTTTTGCAGCAGATAGGCAAACTTGGAGGTTCGATCACTGGTCCCTGCAGGGCAGAGGAAGCCCCCGGGGCCTGGCAAGGCCGCTCGGGGTTTCAGGCCTCGTCTCCCCGCCGAGCCCCCGCCGGTGCCTCCATCGCCGGGCCAGCAGAGCCCCCTAGTGCAGGCCGAGCAAATGCCGGCCGGAGCAGCTTCCCACACCCCCGGCAGCCCCGCGCGGCGAAGCGGGTGGAAATACCGAGCTAAAGGCCTGCCCCGAGAGCAAACAGGCAAAGGCAAATGATGCCTCTTCGCAGGGATATTAACGGAAAGAACAAAAGACCCCAAGACTGCGGTAGCTCCTCGATTTTGTAGAGGGCCCTGCGCGGGAAACGTATGTCTCCCGGGCAGAGACCTCGCACTGTTAGGGCAGGCTTCTCGCGACCTAGGTGCAGAATTCTAGGTGTTTCTGTCATTTAGCAGTACCGGACAAAGACTTCCATCGTTCCTTCTATCTCACCTGAAAACTAGGCTTCTGTTGTTGGCTCAGCTTTGCTTTACTGCCCCTGTGTCTTGGAGGCAGCTCAAGGGAATGGCTAGATACTGACTCAAATACTTTTGTACCATTAAAGCAGAATTGCCTTTATAGTACAACTTAGCATTTGGGATATATTTTTTTCAAGAAAGATATCAGAACTCCCGAGCCATTTGGAAGACATCAGGTTTTGTCTCTCTTGAACACTGGAGAGGGAGAAGTCCTCATTATGAAGGCTGGTAGAAGGGACAATTGGTGGAAAAGGTATGAATTATATTTTTCATTCCTCTTGACAAATGAATTGTCATTTTTCTTTCTCAGTCTAATTGGATTTGAAAGTAACGTTAAAAAAAACAAAGTTGGAAAGCGGTCCCTGGAGTTTGGAGAACATTTTCTCAGAATCATAAAGGAATAATTGGATTGAATTGAATAAAATGAAATAGAACTTAACAGAAGTAGATTTTCAACTTTAGAGGTTATTTCCACAAATTCAGCTTCCTTTGTTCTCATCTTACTAATCAACGCTCTTGATTCAAAAGATCAGCAGGAAGTCTAGCAGAATCCTATGTCTACATCTGCAGGAAAATGGAAGGAAGTTTGGATTCAAGTGGGCTTTACATGTTTTCAGGTCAGCGAGAGCACCAGTGCACTGTCTATCTCTAAAGGCAAGTAACTGAAAGGCTGTAAAGATGTAGGAAGCCTGATCTTTTGCAGCTGGTGCTGTCCTCCTATGGAATTAAAATTTCATACTATTTCTGATCTGGGTGATAGACCTCATTTGCGACAAAAAGTAAACTGTTAATATCTCTAATGAAGAAATGGTATTCACTGAGTAATTCACAGAATTAGTGGCTGCTCAGTAAACTCATTTGATGCTTTCCCACCCATCCTTGCCTATGAGCTAATCTCCTGGTGCTTTGTCTCTTCTGACGTTCAAAACCTAGATTCCGACTGAGCATTACCATAAATGAAAGCTCCTGAGTTACATGTTACAGTCCTTTGCCAATCTTAACTGGAAGAAACTTTAGTCTCTGCTGTAAGTGAAAATCTGTACCCCAAACACTTCTATCTGACTTGCATTTTAAAGAAAGAAAATATTTTTTTAGACAATCAGGATAGTGCCTAAAAGCAACTAAGTGCTGTTACACTCCATTTCCCTAAAATGTCAATGGTGGTTTTTCCCAACATCTTCTCACTGTTAAGCCCTGAATATACACACAGTGAAGTGGACATGCAAAACACATGGTAATCAAGAGAGAAGCTTTCCAAGGACTGATAACCACATGAAAGCTTCCTGTATATGTTATTATGCTCTGTGACTTTTTACCAGAAACAAATGCAAACTGTCCAGCCTGAAATTATTGCCTGCTGTAAATGTAAGGTAAGTAGCAATTTCTCCATTCTGTTCTGAAAAGAAATGCTGGTATTGTCACTGGTCATGATATTTACTGCAGGTACAGAGTTTCCATGCTGCTGTAATATAACTGATTTTAGGCATTGATGGGAAAGTGCATCCTTGCAAAGGATGCCCAGAACTCTAGATTTTGTACTGGTGGGGAGGGTTGGTGTGGGTTTTTTTCAACCATGTCTAAACTGAGTCCATGAGTTAGGGTCTACAGATTTTGTTAGCCTGCATGTATTTTGGATTCTTTTGTATTTCTTCACCTCCCCACCAAAAATCATAGTTTTGTTCTCTTTATATGGGGTCTGGATCTTTGGTCTTTCAACAATGTTCAGAACTGCTCTTGTTATTTTGGCTAACAGAGTGAAGCTGAAAAGTAGCACGGCATTGGTGATGAACAGCTCCATCCTAAGCCACAAGCAGAATCACAGGAAGAGTTTTTATTTAGTACAAAACACAATGTTTTGAAAAGTCATTTTACACCAAAATACGAAGTTCTTTGTTCTTTAACTGTCACAACAGGATACTTTGATATAGTTGGAAACTTTTCATATTACGTGAAATGAAATTCTGTTGAATTCAGTGTGATTTTATGGAGAGGCATCAGCAGCTTTGCATTCTCTGACCAACAGTAGTTTTGCGGAAGGCCAGCTGCCTGAAGAACCCAAGCAGAGGCAGTAATTTAGTCCCACTTTTGAATCTGTTAGCTGTACAGTAAGGTACAACAGCACTTCATGAACTCTAAGTTCATGATTCCAGAAGCAGCCTTGTCAATCTAGCTGCATCTTCAAAGTTGAAAAAAGAAAAAGGGGCATGACAGGGCCACCTTAATAGCTGACCCCTATCTCATGTAGCAAGCAAGATTTCCAAGCGGCATACAACTTGGTCATTAGTGCGTTCTTGTTTTGGCCATCAGCAAAAGAGGCTGCAGGGGAAAATCCTCCATTAATTCCAACTCCCCACATACAGAAAAGAAATCAGATTAAAAATGACTAAAACCTTTGGGCAATTCTCTGCAAGGCAGGCAGGGACAAGTAGTGCAGGCCAAGCCACTGTTCCCACTGCAAAGAAAACAAAAACACAGGTGCTGAATGTACTGAAGCCATGCAGATTAGCCCTGTGTGCAGTACACGCTCTTTACAAGAAGAAAAAACATCACTCTTGTTACTTGGCTATTGTTCGCTTGAGGCATGTTTTATTTCAGCTCAACTCCAAGCAGAGTTATTACAGATCCCACAGCAGAAGTTCTCTGTGATGAGAGAAACATGTGATCTCCGGGCCCTAGAGAAGAAATTATGCTGGGAAGGCACCTCCAGCAGGAAGGCTGATGCTGGCCACCTGAGCAAACACCCAGTCTAAGGAGCGTAAAAAAGCAAGCATAATGGATATATGTAATGGCTGTACACAGGAGTGGTTTGGTACAAGTTTCTCACCATGACCCTGCTTAGTGGAAGACTATTTTTCTGTACACCTCTCTAAGACGAAGAGCAAGGAGATTCAAAGAGAATGAGTGCCACTTTGTTCCCCAATAAAAGGGGAGAGCCAGCTCTGCATGTTGCAGTTTGTGTCGTGCAATTCCAAGCACTGCTGGCTGATGTGCTGTTTAGTGTTCTCCTGTGCCAGTTATGAATTTCATGGTGTTGTACACGGGAATGTGTGTTTATAAGGAATGTAGGGAAATGATACAGCTTAGGATCCTGACAGGACGATTCTGCCAACTGGGTCACAAGACTGAATCCAGTAAGAAGAGACAAGGTTTCCCTGGAGTCATGGCTTCTGGAGGCACAGAACAACACACCTCAGCCAGAGATTATGGGTCTAGTAAGAGTGGGGGTGACTTTGTGGGGTTGGTGACATGCTGCTGGGAGCAAAGCTGATGTCACTGACCCAAAGACTTGGTGGCCAGAGCCCTGCCAGAGCAGAATACACAGAAGCC